GATCAAAAGCCTATTACCTTGTGTGTTTAAATTGGATATTTTCGTATTGTATTTTATTGAGCACCACACAAAAACTAACACACATTTGGGTACTGATAATGATGAGAAAAACCACGTGTCGCTATACAGTCGAATAAATGTCTTCCCACCTATTATTTCGCATTATTGAAATATTCTAGGTGACCGAATACTATGGCATAATTACACATTCTTCTATACATTAAAACTTTAATATTTCTTTAAATATAATATGACCTACCACCCAAAATTCGATTGAAAAAAATAAAAAATAAAAATTCTAATAGACATAGAGATCCTTGGGAAAACTCAGTGGGATATTTTGCATAGCGAAATAACCTCTGATTTCGGGAGAAAATTTTATAAAAACGACTTTTATTTTCAAGTCATCAAATTCGAGAGTACACTCACGTCGTCGGCGAGGAAAAAATCGGTTATTAGCTAGAGATTATCTATACCAAGTTCTTTAGTAGGGTTCGAGCAGTAGCGTATATTTAATATTTCAATGGGTTGGGGAGGAGGGGTTAACGCCTCCGTTAAAAAAAACAAGAACATTTTTTCCTCATAATCAAACACATACATACATATATGGGCACCAGATTCCACGAGGTGTCCAGCCTCTTATAAAACCGATAAACAAAAAAATGACCAGTAACAATAATATAAAAAACAGGTTCAAATAAAATTTAAGTTTTGAGTGACATTTTAAAAACTATACATATACATAATAAAATCACATTTTTTTTTTTTTCTGGCCTTGTAGGGACTTCACCGTAATTACGGCACCGGGTTCGAGTATATTGATACCATATCAATTAAAATATGTGTTTAAGGTGGCTTTACACATAATCTGTTTTATCTGTTTATTTTACGCGTCATATTTCACATTGGAAAAACATTACCAACTGGGCACTTTAGCGATTGCGACCGAAAAGAAATTTGGCCAAGGCACGGTAAACACTCTACTCTATAAAACGTGTAACAGGTCCCTGTAATTTCGAAAATATTGCGAATATGACCGATAAAACGAAGGGAGTAGGAGAGGAAAGAAATCAATGTATACTCGACGTCTATCTTAGATAATATATGCCGGTTCGTGATAAAATAATCGCTCTGCGCATTAACAACGACGGCGGAAATAACGATAACAATTTCGAGTCACATTGAGCCGTGTGCGTCGCGGTTGTTATTCGAAGTCGGGTCGGGCATTATAGTTTACGACCGGAGGACTCGTTAAAACAATCATATTGTAACTCTGCGGAAACGTTCCCGCGAGATTATACCGACGCCACCGCCTTATAAACAAGAATACACGCGAACGTAACGATAACAATAATATTATTAGGATAAAATACGAGTACGGGAACCCATGCGTGTTCGGGGGAACGGTTTTATCAAACGGTATAATATTATTAGGCCGACACAAAAAAAAAAATAAAAAAAACAAACAAACAATCGTTGAAAACCGTGTGGAATATGATAGCGGCATTCAGTACGCGCAATATAAATCGTATACAAATATATTTTGAAATTTCCAGACAAAAGAATGGAAACGATTGCCAGAACGATAATTGCACAGGCATAAAGATACGAAGCGTATTCAATTATTTCGGTAATAACAAATAAACTGCAGGAACGTTTATCTAGATTAAAAAAAAAAAACGATATTTATAATGATTTCGACTATCATTACCTATCGTGAGACAAAGGGCTCAAAGTAGTAACAGTGTACCGGATTCGGTACGCGTCTAGATTTCGCATAAAGGTCGTTTGATCGACGTAAATTAATAATTTATTTATTATTAACAGGACGTGATAGCCGGCGTGTGCTGTCTCAGTCTTACAAACGTAAGACACAAACGATTTACGTTCATCGAGGGACGATTTTGTGCTATTAGTTTTAATATTAAAGTGAATTGAACTATCAGTAAACCTAGAGATAAAATAGAAATTATCTCTATGCAACGGTGCCGTTTTTCTCTCTCCCGATATTTTCATTTGCAAGCGAGAAATAAACGTTATAAAATTGTGATACTCTACTGTATACTCTCTTGAAAATTAAAATATCGAAAATAGTGCCAACGTTGTACGGACAATGTTCATATTTTTAAGATTTGACAATTGAATAGTTCGCTGATTTAAAAACTTAAATAAAACTAACAGTACAATCTTGTCTCTGCTCAACGCAAATGTACTTTGTTGTACGTTTGTAAGACGGAGAAAACACGCCCATTTCATTATACCCAGTAGCGGCTCTAGGATTTGATATTTTTTTTCTGGAAGCGGCATAAAAACATACAAATGTATTTATTTGTTTTAAATATACATATTATTATGACGATATGTATTATAATAGTATATCTGCAATATCGAAATATATTCAAATGTTTCAAAATAATAATGTCACAGATAATCACATTAGTTTTATAAAAACAAAATTTACATACAAAAAAATCAGAAACTTTAGAGCGTCCATAAGACAAAACTTTATTTTTCATAAAATGTGTTTTTCAATTTGGGAAGGATCAAGTGTATAGATTATATAAAATAGTAAAACAACAAAAACAAAAAACAAAACACGAAATATGAACTAAAAATCATAAATAAAATGTATTCTCCGGTTTTACTTTTTTCGAATCAAACTATTACATTTTCCATATCAATAGAAATTTACCCACAGATATGCATAAGCTATAAGTTATAAATATTTTGCTTATGTAGTACTTATACTTAAGAATTGACTATAAATACAGCTCCTGAAGTGATAAACTAAAATTATAATATAGGTACTCGTAGAATAAAAAGTTTAAAGATACGTAGAAAAAACAATTAGAAAATATAAATATAAAAATAAAAAACAAAGAATACTGTATACCGTGTACTGTATATGTAAGCACTGCTGTTGTAGGTGGGAAGTTGGGAAGGCAAGATACATAAAGTTGTTTAATTTATATCTATAAACAGCGATAAACCATTGCTAAAGAAAAACGATTCATGTTTTGAAGGTCGTAATATTTACGATAAGAATGACGTAAAAAATTCGCAAAATGAAAATATCTATAAATAGCTCAATTGTTTTTAAAATTGTACCACGTCTATAAAAAGCAAAGGATAGTTGTTCGTCAAAATTTCAGGGCTATGAATATTTTTAACCGAATCGTAAAAAAAATTTAAAATAAAAAAATTATTATTTTCGTAAACTTTTCCATTCGTTATTGGTTTTGCTCAGTTATTATAGAAACTACACAAAAAAACAAAAAACGGTTTTCTTACTTATCAACTATGTTAAAAATATGAAAAAAAAAAGGTTTTTTGTTGTTTTTTATCGGAGAAATATGTTTAGTGAAAAGCATAAAGCATGTACATTTAAAATAATGAAATCGTAAGTACGCCATACATTTTCTGTACGTTTTCATTTTCGTTACTTGTTTTTTCGACTTTCTCAATTATTATGAATATCAAAAAATTACCTCCCCGTTCCATCGATCAACTAAAGTTCTTTTTCAAAAAAAGTGCAACATTCGATGAGTCGGAGTAAGATTTCTGGTAATCGAGTTACTCATGGACATATACACACACACACACACAAAATTATACACCATAGTAAAATCGATTGATCCTTCTCGCCACGCTCCGAATCTAAAAGTTAATGTGTCGAAATAACACGCACCATTACAATGCAATAAAAATAATGTTACCTGTCGGTATCTGTTCATACAAAATCACCGTGGTAAACCGAAGTACAAAACTGCACAGGTACATGCATCAGAGTAAGTACTTTGTTCGCGGCACCCGTCGTCCGCATTATTATGAACAACGACGATAGATCAGCTAAAGCGAAATTAAAAAAAAAAACAGAAAACCCCGAGGGTCCCGATCGGAAAACAATATACCACACTGGCGCACTAAACGAAAGCGCGAGAATATTCGATTACGCGATATCGAGTATAATGTATACGACCTTACGTATTAAACTCGACAATTGTACAGTCGGTAAAGCCCTTTCACTCTTGGAAAGCCGCCACTGATTATGTCTGTATAAATCAAATATTCTACCCGTTGTTTATTGCAAACATGTAAATAACGGTTTGAAAAGACTTATCCGGACGATCCAATCGCTTGTCTTTGATAACGGGAATATTTTGCATTTTTTTCCTTTTTAATGTTATTGAATTACGTATATTTGTCCAGATGGTTGAAGATCCGAAACAATGTTTAATATCTGTACCGTCCGTCCGTCTATAGTGTAGATATACTCGTATATTATGACGATACGAGGCACGGACATGTACCGCGTCCAGATGAACCACGACACAGTTCGTGGTGCGTGATACCGTCGACCTCCGCCAATGGACGATCCATTGTGTGTGTGTTTGTGTGCGACGGCATTTTTTTTCGCCAAAAAAAAACAACAAACACTGCCATACAAACGTCGCGAAAATATACCGGGGGATCGTTAACGCGGTAAGTGAATCAAGGCCGGGCGCGTACAGGATGCGCCGCACACGAATATAAAAATAATATTTTGATATCGTGCGAGATGCGTGCGTATCACGCGCTACCGGTCTTCCGGCACGTGGATACGGCGGCGGCGGACAATCGGATCCTTGGTGGGAAGGTCGCGACGACGACCGCGCCAAAACGCGTCTGTGGCGGGGAAGAAGATAAAAAAAAAAAAAAAATAGTAAACAATAATAATAATAATAAAAAAAAAACAGTACCTCCGCGAAAAAGAAAAACTACCGGCAAGACGTGCGGCATCCGGTGCGGGCGGTCCCCGGCGATTTTCCGGTCCCCACATATAAAAGACCGCACCGCCGACCGGATCGGTTGCACTACACGTCCGACAACAATAGCCGCGAGCGCGCTGACCGGCCCCGCAGAGTGTCGACTCGTCGCCGCACAAGTCCGCGTTTTTCTCCTCGCGTATATTCCGCCGTCTTTATTTTATTTTTTTTTTTTTCCCCACGGATCACTCCGCGATGATTCCGACGAGGACGCTGTTCTACGGCGTGCAAATGTTGCTCGCCGTCGCGTCGGCCGAAATCCTAAAACCCTCCTGGCACCAGTACTACCCGGGACGTCACGCGTGAGTATACGTATATAATATGTAATATTGTACCGGCGGTAATAGTAATTCGATGTACTGCAAGGGAAACGCGAACGATCCGGACTTAATTCGTTTGAACCGGGGTTGTGAATTTAAAACATTAAAAAAAAAAAAACAACAACAACAACAACAACCTATTAGAGAAGTCCCTAAAATTCAGCTCACGAAGCACACACAATTTACAAAAAAAAAAAAAAAAAAAAACAACACCGAAATGCAATTATTCTCATATCAAGTTAACTAGAAATAAACATTTATATTAAAAAGTGGTTGTCACTGTCTGCATTTTTGATATTCTCACACATGGTGTAGTTTCACTTTTCTACTCTAAACTATGGCACGCTTAAAACTTCGATTTCATGATATTATACAGTCATAATTTTTAACCAAACATTTGTGTACAAGTGTATTGTATTCGGTAAAACTTAAATTATATTCCTATCGTGTATTTGTTCGTATTTTGAAATATATTCAAATCGGATAAGTGTGTTTTACTAAACCCGCCGCGTGTCTAAGGCCGTTGAAACACTCCAACACCGGAGGTAAAATTTGGGGATTTTATTTTTTCGTACAAAAAACCACGAACAACGACATTTCTCAATCTATTTTCGTGTACACATTTTTTTCCAGATGTTTAATTTTTCTTTTAGTGTAAACAACTTAGTGTAATCGGTTTATAATACTGTTGTTCATGGGCGAACTCACAGGGGGGAGTTCATGGGGTTTAATTCTCCCCCCCCTCGAATGGCCGTTATTTTTTCGCAATCAATTCGTTTTAAATTTTATATTTACAATTGCAATAAAAACATATTTGTTGCACCAAAGAAAAAATTGATAAACTATTAAAAATAAAAAATGTATTCAATTTTGTATCGTTATTTTTTTGATGTTATTATTACTAAAAAATAATGTTAAATGTCGTAAATAGAGGAGTGTATGCTGACAGCCTCTTAAATATTTTTCTAGAAATCACCCTCAAACCCGCCCCCCCCCATTGAAAATTCCCGAGAACGTCACTGCTGTTGTTTATTTATACATTCGTATGGCACGGAAAATGTTATATAGCGAACAGTTTAAGTGGTAACAAGCATGTAACAAATTATTGAATAATACGAAGAAAGATAAATATCAGCATAATAATATGGCGAGTAATAATAGACCACGCGTTCAACGATAACAGCAACAACATAAGCGATTGTAAAATAATATCGAGATTGTTTATCCACTCAATGACTTTAGTGGTCGCATTGAGAATATCCTTGAGCTTCCCGTTGAACGTTCTCTCTTCGGACACTCTCGTACGATACGATCTGTATCTTGTTTCGGGTCACCGCAGTCACATCCTGGGGTTGGGAATACTGTTGTGACCGACTGTTGTAAAAACTGTGAAAAATGATATTATATGTATGGATGTTTTTGATTTTTAATCATTTCGCGACACCGCTAATTAATCGGAGTATCCGGCATTCCGGTCAAGAATCGCTGATCCATGCATTACATGACTTTTGCGACGAATTTTTTTTTTTTCTAGACTTTTACCGCCGACAAACAAAACGAATGCCGTGCGTTCTTACAAAGTATGAGAAACGGGATGTGCGTTGTGCATAACCTAGTTAACAGTGGCGTCACCACCGCCACGCCGTGATAATATAAAAACTTCCGAAAATATTGTAAAAGAGGCGAGCGGTTATGTGGAAATAATTACAAGAAAAAAAAAAACAAACAAGATAAACAGTTTATTTAATATCTCGGGCACTAGAAATATGCTACTGACGGTACATTTCACATTTTCATTTCTCTTTTTTTTTTTTGTTTTTACATTAGCGACGTAAAGAATCCCGAGATAAAAAAAAAAAAAAAAATACCCCGTTTAACATACGTATTTACGTGGTATAAAATAATATGATATGTCAACGCTTTTGTGGTTAATATTAACTTGAAAAAAAAAAAGGGAATGTAAAACCGCCGCTAAAACATTTTAGTCTTTTTACCAATTTATTCGTACAAATTAAAATAATAACAACAATACCTATGAAATAGGCTGATCTGCTACTTGGTGTGCCACTGTGCTACAGGAGCCGGGAAGTTGAAATAGAATATAACTAACGTAGAGATATTCAATTTATATCTGTGCGCAAACGAAACCATTTCGAACGAAGTACGATTCTGAGCATTAGACGAATTTCGTCCCTTGTCGACAAAGCAACACAAAAATCATACGAATCATTGCCATTCATTTTCATTTGTGAAAAAAAGAAGAAAAATCCATAAATGATTTTAGAAATACATCAACTAGATCAATTAAATGACTCTAAAGGTCAGATCTCGATGTCGGTTAATTGCCCGTAGTGTCCTGTACCTTTCGAGAATCTATCGAAAATGATTTTTTTCGAATAGTGTTTTTTTTTTTTTCCATTAAATGAAATAAGCGAACTCTATACTGCACGAGAGTTTTATGCGTTCCGACAGATTTGAAATTATGAATTTCGAACTGCGTTACAGGATCTTTTTGTCACGTATCTGAAATTCCTGAACCATAATATTGTTCTGTACGCTACGGCCCAGTCAGTAATATTCAGTCAGCGTATTAAATTTCCGAATAGAAAAACACGACTTCCGAAATCCCCGGCCGTCTGTTTCTCGAAATACAATCGTTGTTCGAGTACATTTTTTTTATGAGTTTGTGTTACGTCTCTGAAAATGACGAGTCGTATTTTCATAATATTTCGGATCCCGGAACCGCACATTTACGGGGATCGGATCGTATAATACATATAACAATAAAACAACAGTCTTGACGGGCGACGAAATCGCGAGTCCTTGTGAGTTATGGTTAAATATATTAGATTGCCTACCTATATTATTATAGCCCGCTGGACGAACGATATTTCTACTACAATAACGCCGCAAATGTTTGTTGTACGCGTTGATGACCGTGTTATTACTTCGTGGACTTAATGGGTCGCGTGAAGGAGAAAAACGAAAATTTATCAACTCGAAAAAAATTAAATAAAATTCAAATTAATTTGTGTAGAATACTAAAAGCGTTCCCGTTGTATTATCGCACATCGGGAAAAGCTATTTATTGTGCAAACATGATGTTTATTGAAAGAAACGTTCGCGATCGCACGAAAAAGTGCCCTTTAAAGTGATTTTAGAGTGATTTTACACAATACAGCATTAGTATAGAAAGCGACAACATCGTGTGCATAGATAACTGTTATACGCACTAGTCGGCATTCGATCGGTTTTAACGACGCGGGGTTTACAATAATTTATTGAAAAAACCGCGAATTTTTCATGATATAATTGACATAACTAAACGGTCTGAACGGATAACACGCGGTCGTTCCTTGTGTCGCGTCCGTTAATGGTTTCATCGTATAGGCTAATCCTAAGGGAGGAAGGGGGGGGGGGCGGTTATTTTTGTTGCGTTGTAAATCGTGTACTCATTCACATCGGGATAAAACGAATACGGGACACGGGGGTTTTTGAACGTTCATAAAAACGCTCACACCGCCGTCGACAACCTCTTAAGTGTTGTAGGCGCTCGAACGTTTCATGCGATATAATTAAACTTTCGAATTTGACGGTAAAGTACTTTGACATCGCGTGTACACAAAACAAACAAAAAACAAATTATAATCTAACATGAAGGTTTTTTTTTTTTTAAATTTAATATAATATACCTACCTATATTGTTTTATATAAAAACGTCGGTAAAAACAAAGTGGTTTTATTAAGACATCGATTACGAGCGACGAGAAACCAAACGGGTCTCAATAAAAAAAAAAAAAAAAAAAGAGGGGGAGGAATTCCGTTTTTTTTTCTATCTTTTCACGGGAAACAAACAACTAAAGTAATAAGATATTGACACGCGATAAAGATATGGTTTTGAAAATTTGACATTCATTTTTACAACAGCATAGTATAACCAAATGTTAAATCGAACGATACATAGTACAATAGTTGTTTTATTTTTCATGGCTTCATGGCCTCCTTTTGCAGTAAATACTGTAAACATCGTACGAGGATGTGAATTATGCACATGTCCCCTATTTCTATTGTAAACTATAATGGTTCCGTTTTAAATGTTTGGATACGCGAAAACAGTTGGATTGGTCTTCTTTTTGCAGTATTAGTTAATTTAGTTTATAACCTCGTCATTTGGTTCCCTGAATAGGTCGCTTCTCTCACATTTTGCGTTAGACATGTGGGTCGTCTTCCGAGTCTCCGCATTCATATTCCACAGTCTCTCCTTGTTTCCATCGTACGAGGTTTTTCTTCTTTTTTTCGAGACTTTTACCTTAGGTGATTTAGAGTTTTTCAGATTCTATATTTCAGATTACTGTCCTTGGTGGTAGGTCCTTTATTGTCCTTGCTTCGCGTCAGTTTTTCCATCTATATATTCGCCCGTAAGGTTTTGAAAGTAGAGTTTCTGTCGTGCTATGTTGGTTGCTGTTTCTCGACTTAAATCTACTGTTACGTAGAGTATATCCGTATAAATGGTGCTTTGATCAGAGTTGTAAGAATCTTCTTCAGCTATCGTCTTATATCCGGCGAGACTATAGCACTGCAGAGTGTGTATAGTTTATTGTTTGTTACTATTTTTAGGCAGTCTATGATTATTCTATGAGATTCATTAAGTGCCACCTTTACAGAAGATTTTCTTGTTTCTGCGGTAAACGACATATACCTATTTACGTGTGATTAGTTCAAAATGATAACACAATTTAAAAAAAAAATTAATAAAAACGGATTCGCATGCAGTGGTTACAGCTCTTCAAGTACAATTTATAGGCGCCTAATTTAAGTGACCTTAAAAGACCGTAAGTCGAAATGCGTATTAATTTTTTTGTTGTAAATGTATTCTGGCCATAATAATATTGTACGGGGACGAAACAAGCTACGACGAACGTGTACACTATTTTTTTATTTTTTCCATTAAACAGTATACATAATAACGGTATATATTTGTCGGTACAGACAAAAAAAAAAAAAAAACCCTCGTTTGAGCCTTAAGGGGAAAAAAGGTTTTCTTTGTTCGGCCCACGCGAAAGACAGAAGCTCCTTAAAACGTCGTCTCCGTGCACACATTTTGGCACAAAATTACGCTCCTTTGGCCGTTTGCACATACGCATTGGCGCGCGCAAACACATCACTAGCTGCACTGTAATATATACGTGTATATATAAAATAAGTCTATCTACGTGTGTGTGTGTGTGTGTGTGTGTGTGTGTGTGTGTGTGTGTGTGCGTGCGTTGGAATAGTAATAAAACCTTCGCCGTATACTTTATACTCAGACTTTTAGTCCTATACACACACCTACAATACACAGTGTGTACAGTAGGTATTACACACACACACACAGACACACACACACACACACACACACACACACGCGCGCGCGAGCACAATCTAACACGGTTTATTTTTGTTTTCAGTTACGGTATACGGTATTTCGAGAAGCTAGCTTCGCTGCGAGAGAACTTCCAAAAAGGCGTCGTTGTACCACACAGCAAGTAATATACACACACACACACACACCTGTAAACCGTTTGAATAATACATATATTCTATGTATTTATATGTATATGTATTGTGCTCGTCCCGTTATATGCGTTACCCTATGTATAAGTATTTTAATTAAACGCGTTTAACCCCGGCGCGCTCTCGAAGCGAATGGTTTTGTCAATATTATACGAATCGAACGCGCACGCGCGCGGGCGCGTGTTTATGTTTTATCGGAACAATACCTATAAAATAAAATGCATAATGTGACAAAGCGCAAAAAGACCTGGGCCAGATGAATGCTCTACGCACGGGAGTCTCCGATGTTTTATTGTTCGCGTGCGAAATAATATTTTAACCTTTTATCGCGCGTAAATTCGGGAAGCATTTCGAAAGTCGTGCCGGTCCGCGTCGTTATGATGTTTTTGGTCGTCCCGTGCAAGACGGGCTTAAGTGAATTTTTTTTATAGATTTCAACGTTGATTTTTGAAAATAATTCCTAAACAGCCAAAAAATATGATAACATATAACATAACTAATGGCGGTACATTGAATCCATGTTCCTATCTAAATAAAAGATAAAGATAAGAGATAATTATATAGTATCTAGATAACATAAACAGGTAACAAATTAAAGATATTTTAATTTTTAGTATTAAAAGTGTTATAATATAACGTACATTCCACACACTTATACCATTGAGATAAAAAAATGAAAACAAATATTGTAAAATAAAAAAAAGTTGACTTCTTTTTGTAAGAGTAAAGAATTATAATTTTTAATAAGTACACGTGCATTTTAGATGATTTTTAAGCGAAAAGAAAACTATATGAAAAACAATTTAATCAAAATTATATCGTTTGTGAGAAAGAATTTTCGTAAATAGGAAAACATAAATATAATTTACATCTTTAAAGATCGTTACAGTTGCACTTGCCACTTCTGTCTTTTGTGTTCTTATAAAACAAACGAAAAAAGGTCTTTAAAAGTAGTTTTAGAAATAAAACACCAATAGTTATTACGTATAGATGATAAAGTTTTAAAGACAATACTAATATTGTCTTACCCACTCTTATAACATGATGAAATATTCAGTTATTAATAAGTAATACAAGTAAAGTATTCAATGTAAAAGGGATTTTGTCCGGGTGGAATTTTTCGGAGCGGAGTATTGTTGGAGATTACATCGTGACGACCTCTTACCGCAAGGACATAGTACAGGCAAGGGAAAATCGTCTGGCACGTATGTCCATGTCACAATAATAATAATAAAAAAAATAAAATAACAAAATTAAAAAAAATATTTTTTATATTTCCATATAAAAGTTACAGTAATTCGGTCGGTTGTTGTTAGTTTACAGCGGCGTACATGACGATTTTGTTAATTTAAAATTATTTAATGGGAAACGACAACAATATTTTTACATCGTCGAAATGAAAACTAAATGGTGTTGAATTTAATTATTTTAAATTAAAAAAAAAAAAAAAAAAAAAAAAAAAACGACGGCACAAATGTCGAGTGATTATCGCCGTACCGCATAAAATGAATAACAAAAGAAAAAAAAAAAAATGTTCAATGACGATTTAGAAACGAAGTTTTACGAAACATTAAAATTAAACGCTCGTTGTTTACGTTTTTCTTCTCGTATCGTTTACGTTGTTTATTCGATTTTCCCGCAAATTTTCGGTACGTTTAACTATACAATTCTAATAAACTAGGTTACTCGTCTAAAGTACATATACCACCTATAAATGTTAAATCGTCCGTCTTTAAAGTGACTATTTGAAACTTTCGGGTCCACGTTTAACTATATACGTGCCATTCGTAATCTCAAAATATACGCGGTACCGTATAGAGCATAGTATAAAAATATATATAAAAAAAAAAAAACAAAATTGACATACTTCGCTCGATGGTTGGGCCATTGTTGTGGGTGAAAAGTCGGGAATGTAGGATATAGGGCGGAATTTAACGTATAATGTTTAATGTACGCAAATGTTAAATATTGCTAACGAAAAACGATTATTGTCGGCGTTCGGTTATACATGTTTTATAAGGTGAATATTATAGGTAAATCGTAATTATGGTCTTACATGAACGTTTTCGTCAAAACTTGATGCAATAATTCTTATAAAAAAAAATTCTACATTATACTAGTTGTTTCTTTTGATCACAAAGTGTGACTTACAATGAATCTCCTGTTAAATTTTCAAGAATTTCTGTTTGGTCTATTTTATCCATGCCTACCTTATCGTACCTATCGAATAAATATTACATACTAACTCGCAACATTAAAATGACTATAAAAAGCCCAAAATGGCTCAAATGTTTCGAAAATATGACCATGTCTAAAAAGTCAAATATAATCGTTCTGTTTACATTTCTACGAACATTTTCAATTGAATCTCAACAAAAAATAAATTCGAAAATAATAAGTTTCGTGAATTTTCCAATTTCCTACGTTTTATTCCAGTGTTTTCCTATTTATTATAAAAATCCCTTGGAAAACAAATGACCGGATATCACCAAGATAAAATTAGCTTTAAGAAAAGGTCCTACACTTGAAAATTGGAGCAAGATTTCTTGGAGGAATGTTGTTCACAGATAAAAAAAATAAACAACATTGTAAAACAAATAAATGTTTTGCTCCACTTAGAATCTAAAAGTTAGACATACAGCTCTTACCGTGAGTACAAACTACTTGTCATAAGGATGTGAGGGTACAGCAAGAGTAGAACGGAACATTTGTTTTTTTTTCTAGACCAAAACAAACCATTGCGATTGAAAAACGATTCTATGTGGAGCTCGATAATTCCGTAAGGAATGTATTATACAAAGAGATTTTTTTTTTTATCATAAACCAGCAATTTTATCGAAGGATATTAATCTTACTCCATATACCATAAATAAGTATGGACTTTAGTTTTTCAAGTGAGATCTCCATTTTTTGAACACAGATTCAAACAGAGAATTTTTTTCTTTAAATTTCTATATCCATAACACTAATATTATACTTACCGTCTTAGTTGAGTTATAACCGTTTAAATTTTAGACCGGAGGAGTAAAGACGAGTAATCAATTTTTCATTTAAAAATCGATATGCAATTGAAAATAAAAATAAAATATATCTACTTATTTAAAGTATATTGAGTAGAGGTTGAAACCATCGTCGATGGTTTCAAAATAAAACTTCGTCGATTCCATAATAACTAATAATAAAAACAAAAATCAAATTCCCTCAAAATCCTCCGAGATAATTGCTGGTTCATGATGAAAAAAAAAATCACTCTGTATTGTGTAAGTTGTGCTTTTTCTCATCCCTAACCGAGATAACCTGAAAATCAAAAAAAAAAAAAAAAAAAAAACCGTTACAATGTGGGTTTTCATTAATTTCGTAGAAAATTGTAGAGAAAACATTTTAAAATAAAGTATCCGCACCGGACAAAAATTCTGCATCCATTCAGTTACGATTATGTAAACAATTCGGAGAGCGTTTATAGACTAGCCGAAAATATGTTCCCCGAGAAAAAAACAACATTCCAGTACTTATCTAGATAGATAGATAGATAGATAGATTTATTATTATTTTATAATAATTACAACGTAACAAAACTAATAATAACAAAACGCGATCAAGTTTGTCTTCAAAAGCCTGAGCTTGTGGGGAAAAAAAAGTTCATAATGTCGATTAAATTTATATACATTTATCATCACCGTTTACAAATTTAAAAACAAATAATGATGAAAATAAAAATAAAAAGTTAGTAATGTGGTATTAAATTAAATGTTAAAAATAAAATATTTTTATTTATTTTATATTTATATAATTTTTAAATTAAGAACTGAATAAAACTAATTTTATAATTACTATTCAAATTGTATATGTTGTCACTTTATAAATAACATACTTTTTATATATGTACAGTTATCAAAACTGTAATATTAATACAAAAAAAATATTAAAAAATTATAAACTCATATTATCCTTACCTTAAAAGAGTACCATATGAGTCATCTTAAAATTAGATGGTAGCATCTGCGCTACACTCAAGATCTGTAAAATACGTTTTCGCATATCGAATGATTAAACTGATAATCTAAAATCAATGAAGATTTTAATTTTTAATTTTTAATTGTTTCAACGATTTTCATTTGATTATAAGTTTTTAAATATAAAACGAATACTTCAAACAGAAAAAAATTCGGTTTTTGGAAAACGGTCGAAGTTATGTTAATTAATTTGTCTAGAAATATCAAATTTCCGATACATCGTCGCAGTGTGCATTTAAAATCATTTAAAATTTTAGCATTAAATTGGATTTTCTTTAATTTTATTAAAATATTATGTTTATTCGAATAACTTTTAACCTATTCGGAATTTAAATGTAAAATGGTATAATAAATTAAAAGTTTTGTGCCGCGAGTGCGGCTCAAAAGAACCGTACGCATTATTAGAATAATAATATGTTTTTTTTTTTTAATTATACAAAAAGCAGTTTAAGAGTCTTTTTTTCAGTCAACTTATCGTAGTTTCAAAAGGAAATATTAAACTTTTATCAATTTAACTGTCAATCGTCGCTTATCCTGCAACATTACACACTAATAGTTCGATGCAATTACATTATCATCGATATTAATAAAACAGGTGTTTCCGTTAATGTATAACTCCATAATTTTCTTCTCGTTAGATTCGTGGTTACACTGTAAATCATGACGACGATAACATCAGTGTTATCAGAATATGGTGTCTGCATAACGAGCCTGAGCCGTGTGAATAACACACGATAATAGTTGCATTTTTTTCTTTTCCTTTTTAAAATACATTATATGTAGAAAATATATTTGATCATTACCGGTATTTAACATAGTAAGATTAAATCGTTTAATTAATTTAATTTTGATCATGTTTTAAAACGATACAAAAACTGAGGTAATAACTTCTGTAATATAAGTGACAACATATTATATACTTCTATGAAGCCCGGCTACGTATTGACGTTCTTTACTCAAAATGAGTCGCACACACACACGTAATCTTCCGATTGGCTATTTGATTTCTTATCATAAGTTTATAATATCGATTACACGAATTTAATGATAACAATAATAAACCGATTACTCTTGTCACTTTCAATTAACCTTTCCACTGTTGTTTCCAAATCTGATACTGTTCCAAGGAAGTTTTAGTATCCTAAGACCTAAAACCTAAGTGTACACTGTATAGCTGAAAGCTTGTCGATAAAAAACCAGGAAAAGTTTAAATAAAGTAGGAGGAAAAACGCAAACGACCGGATTCAAATTCGGCAATTCATTGACACCATCAAAACGTATGTTAATTTATATGATAAGGTACGTTGAACAACGTCATATCTGGCCGCCAATCAGAGGATTACAACTGCATCTATGGCTTTTTTAACGTAAGAAACGTTAATACGTACCCTAGCTGGATCGGTCAGTAGAGTACGAGACTCTTAATCTCTTAATCTCTGTGTGTTCGATTCGAGCTCCGCGTTGATCACTACTTTGTTGTACACGCCGCGTTTGGGGAAAGTATGCAACGTTTAATGGTAAATTTAAAATAAATTTAACCAACAAAAATAATATAAAACATTGGTCCTCTATTATTATTATTAAAATCCCAAAGAACAAATAATACCTGCGTAAGTTTTCGAATTTATTTAATATTATGGTAAACACAAAATGTTATATATTTTCAGTATTTCTCATACAAAATCTATATTCGGAACAAGAGTTTATTTACTCTACTTTTTTTTTCTTTTTCGAGCAAATTGTTATATTTTTTTTACATAATATAATATATATATATATATATTTATCACCGACGCGATGCGACGTATCGTTTTATTATCAAAAAACCGTTTTCTTAATAAATCATATTTACAAATATTGAACTGCGGCCAACAAAAAAAAAAAAAAAAAAAAAAATAAAATAAAAATACATATACGATGCACATAAAGTAAATAATTCAATGGAAATTTTTACAGATGGGGGTTTTACAACAGAATGGATACCATTTCGTCGACGACGAGGACGACGGACAAAAAGACGCGCAGATTGCGGGTGGGTAGCGGATGGTGGAAACTAGTGCCACCAACGGGAGCAGAGATCAATTGCGAATTTCCGAGCTCCATACCCGTGATATCCGTAAGTATCGAACGTGAATGAATAATTATTATTGAATAGAAATTCGGAATATTTTCTTTAATATTATAGTAATATTTTATCCGCAACTTGAGTCTTGGGAAAGAAGGGAAACATTGAGAGAAAGGGGATATTAAATTCCTTACTCATATGTGATATACACAGTGGCGTGCCCAGACATTTTAAGCGAGAGGAAATGTAGTAAATAATAATCACGGTGCATAAATAAATCGTAGAACATTTTTTTGTTGTACACTTATAGGTAATATAATTATATTTAACCGAAAATGAGAATTTAAAAGCCAGATCCAAAAAAAAACAATGTTTTATTCAATAAATCATACCTTTTTCTTGTAACTGAGCTGAAATTTATAATTTAAGATAAAACTATATAAAATAAATATTCATAGTTGTTGTACATTTAAACCAACCGAGAAGAAACACCCGTGAAGAGTTCCGACACTGGAGTCAAATTTTTCTCGCCTTCCATATGTTGTAAAACAATATATTAGCGAATACAATAAAATTGCAATATTATTGTATACTAATTGTATACTAAAACTATGTTACTTGCAAATACGTGGTACAATTTTACCACATAAATGGCGGAATCGTGGCTGGTTGAAAGTTAAAATCTTCAAAGGTCAAAATATATTCTTGAGACTATAATACATATAATACAATACACTATAATACATGAACGCAATTTGAGAGGTCTGTAGGTGTCTTCAAAACTAAAAAAACACTTTTTTATTGACATCATAGAGAGTTTGAGTGCATTTAGTACAGATGAACCTCCTCCAGAAGTTTCTAAAAGTAGCGGAAAAAAGATAAACACAAAACAGTGCCAAAGTCAATATTTTATAAAAAAAATTCCGCACAAAATTTTAAGGGATTGACGAAGATAGCGATCGAACAAACCTGAGAAAAATCCCCTCACATACCACGTAATAATTAAAACGTCTGAATGCCTTTAGATCCTATTGGACATTTTTGTATAGGTTATAAATTGTTTACAAAGAATACAAATATTTTCCAAGACAATCGATTGAAAACATATACGACGTTCACACATCGACGTAACACATCGATTCAAATGTCTGAAATTTATCCAGAAATACCATTGGATCTTTTTTCGAAGTAAAGAAAATTCCAGTTCGCGAGCAGCGATTTTAGGTTAACAACGCAATTTGTGTGTAGTTTTTTTTTTACGATTTAAATTATCGCTGAACAAAATATAACATGAAAATAAACCATCCGAATGTTATAACGATCAAATAGGTCATTTAGATCGTAAGGTCTTTTTGTTGATAGGAAAATAATACCAATATTGACGTAAAAATTCACAAAAATATTTATAAATCATCAAGCTAAATTTACAATTATATACAGTTTTTTGATATGTAATTTTGCCTTTCGTGGTTAATAACTTATATTGATTTCCTTCTCATCAATCACAGGACTTTATTTGTTCCTTATTCAATTCTAAAAATGTATTTTTATCTGAATTTTTGTTCAGTGATAATTTAAAACGTAAAAAAATAAAAGAAATATATACGAATTGCGTTGTACGATGGTATTGTTACACTTGTAACAAATCAAATATGGAGATAAGCCTTCGAAAAAAAAAATCGTTTTTTTTCGGTTCACCGTAATATTATACAGTTATAGATTATATAGGTATTGATTTAAAAACGAACGAAAACCAGTTTTTTTTTATTGTTTTAAATAAATACAGTGTGTCCCGACGTAAAAAGTATAATATCACTTCTTTTTGGTTAAAACACGCCACCGCTTCGGATTATTCCGTTTGTTTTGCGAACCACAGCAACAACACCTATACCAATATACAGTTAGATCAGACGCGATAAACGTTTTATTATAAAATAAACACGGTAGTATAATATATTACCGGGGTACGACCCACGCGTATTATAATTATTAGTACTTACATAGTACCGGAAAACTGTTTATGATACAAAATTTCGTACTTGACGTACGCGTGGGGGTCGAGATAAGACCAATAATATTATAACTAACTCTCGTACGTTGTAAACTTACGAGCGCAGTTTTACACGTGGACAATTATCGCGGCGGGACCTTTCACTAGTGGGAGGGGTAGCGGTAGTGACGTTAAAGAGGGGTGGTTTTATTCTCGTTGATACGCGTGCACGCGCGTTATCGTATTATCCGATATTGTATTTTAATACCGTATATCGTCTCGCGAGCCCAAAAAACCCGAGAAAATCACACTACGCCTTTGTTCGTTTCTTTTTTTACTTTTTTTTCTCTATTTTTGTGTAACACGAAAACGATTTCACAGTTCGATTAAATACAAATAATGATTTTGTTTAGTATCATCGGTAGTATAGGTATGTTCAGCAGGAAACTCGCGTGAGTATTTCGCGTACAACTTGTCGAATAAAGTTGGTATCGTCTGCAGGCGGAAAATCCGTAAGCCTTTAAGGTTTCGGTGTCAAAACGTCGGACGATTTTTACAAATCGAAAAACTGCCGGTAACTATGAACGTGGTAGAAATGGAGAGGAAATACGTACAGAGCTGTGACATCGAGAACCTATAAGTGTTTATATTGGTGGGGGGGAGTAGAAGGAGGGGTGGCCCGCTACTTAAACGATACGTGTATTAAAGGGGCCTACGACCCAGAACTGAATACCCTCGCTCTACACCGTTTCGAGCCCGTCATTCCGAGCGGCGAGAAATGTCAACACGACGCCGCCGATAACAGATTAGGATCCGGAGCTTAAACGAGAACGCGTCGTCAGAGTGCGTATTGTCTCCTCGTTCGGCGGACAGTCATATGATGATAATAATAATAACAATAATAATAATAACATTACAACCGTCACAATAATAACGCGGTGTCTGTCGTCTTTTTCAGAACGTCGTGTGGGAGCGCGTGGACCCGGGAAAGGCGGACAAAGAAAAGGCCATGCGACGGATGGGCGAGGTGCAGACCTACGACATGCACCTGAGGCCCAGGGGCAGCACGTTGCATTTGCACGACGTTTCGCAGTTGGACAAAGGCCTGTACAGGTGTCTGGCGTCGTCGGTGAACAAGCTGACGGGCGAGCCGCAAACGGTGTTCCAAGACACGAATTTCTATCCGGCCGTCGTCTGACGCGTAACGGTCACGGCCATCCGGAAACCGGCAACGACCGTTTTGTTATTGTTACGGTCGGAGTCGGGGCGAACAGAAAAAACAACAATAACATGTGACATTCGAGTTCCGATCGGAAACCACACGGCCGATACTTTTCGGTCGGTAAAACGGTCGTTTCGATCGGAATTTGACTGTGTTGATATTATTATTATTATTATTTTAATTCATTGCGGTGTGTCACGCCACTGGGTGATATGTAAAACGACTACAGACTGTATAACCGCACTCATATACGGCGTCGGATCCGTCGGAAATTGTTTAAAGCGGGCACATTGTTTGTTTATACTTTCAGTAAATTAACTATAAATCGTGTATTAAATTAATAATAGTTTATTTAATTGAAAACTATAGTCCATCGATAGGAAGGGCACGTACCGCTGTGCCTCCCTGGATCCGTCACTGGCCGCACTCCTATGTGACCGAATTCGACGGGCCGTACGTCGAATTCCACGTCGATCGATCCTGTTTCACGCAAACGCCCGTTTTTTTTATGTACATAATTGTATACTGCCAGTGGACTTTCTACCGGAAATCATGCTCTCCGACGTATCAAGTGCAGCCTGTTTCGTCTGGTTAATACTTGAAAGAGCCAAGAGAGCGTTTGATTTTCGATTTTCCGAGCGGTTTTCAATCGAGAACGAACGGGAAAATTCACGTGCGTGTATAAAAGAAACTTCACTCCGAATCGTTTTTCGTTAGCGGTGGTTTACCGTCGCGCAGAGAAATTAATTGAATTCCCCTTCGAATCCTATATGCCTTTCTGACTTTTCAAATACAACAGTTGTCCACGTACTTTTTTTCTTTTATCGTGAAGTACTACGCGTGCGATGATGACTCCAGCCGGTGTATCGAATATTCGACCGTGAAACCGAAAAATCGTGTCTGGCGCAAAACTGAAAACGCTCGAAACGTTCCAACAGCAATAAATAACTCGGACAGCGCCGGAATACGGTTAGAAACCGAACCGCGCCTATGTTCGCTGACCACCAGTACGACAGTCCTCGGGTGAAATTTCATGCGATTAAAAATACGTTTTACTCAGAGTTCAACCGGCTGTATCTGTAGTCTAGTCGTTTTATATATCAATGATCTATAATATTATTTATTTATTGTTCATTATTATTGTTTATTATCTATTATTATTATCATCGATTCGGCGGGTTCGATCGTTTATTGTGATAATCGTGTACGGCGAATAATAACAATAAAAAAACCGTTTTCGTTACATCGCTCGTTAAACCGATCGCTTTCCGAACCGAACCAAATCGCGCGGAATCTCAAGGCTACGCCGATATTTTTACGGGTACGTTATTGCAATAATTCGTGAAACGTGTGTATTTTTTTTCAAATGTATTAATTTTTTATCATACGAAACGTCGCAAGAACTCGGTAAACTACAAATAGGATAGGTCGAAATAACGAATATTAAAAAACAAAATACAAACAACCGTTTCAGTATTTATCGATCGTGAATAAAAAAAAAAAAAAATAAAACAAAAATCGCATAAAGTTTTTTTTTTCAAATAATCGCATAAGCTATAAAATCGCAGTTTTAAAAGTCGGAACCGAAATTGTCGTCGAATATTTGCGCGCGAGACTTAAAGAACATATCTTTTGTTACGGTCCCCTCGAACGAGTTTCAAGATGAAAACTTGCCAATATTTTTTTTTTTTTTTTTTGTTTATAATATTCGTGTATTTATTATTTTATCGTTACGCACCGCTGTGAAAACGAGTCCCTGCTTTTGGTCGCATAATATATTCGAAAATTATCGTCGCGTTTACGTAGGCGCCTCCCGCAATAGGATAAAAATATAACGTTATCGTAGTATATTATTCAAAATATATATTAATATTTTTGTTTTATATATAATTTAATAATATAGACGTAAATCAAAAAAAAAAAAAAAAAACGTTTCGTGGATTATAATTTATTAAAACAATTTACCGTAATATGTTTCGATTTATTCGATTTCCCTCGGACGCAATATATCATGTTATTAACGTATTACGAATAAAATGTACTGAACATAGAAGTACAAATCGCGTTTTATACGTGTTTACGTGTAAATATATAAATTTGTATTTTTCATTAAAAAAATGTATTTATTATAAATTATTATTACACGTATAGTTGTAGCGGCTGCGATGTTAACAGCGAACGACTGCTGTCGCACAATAACAGCGCAGTAAATACACGATAAATGTTTTTATAATAATTTAATTTTCGTATAATTTGTACGTTCGCGAATAAAACGACGTTTTATAATGTCTTTGTTAAAAAAAAAAAAATAAAAATATATATATATTTATATAAATATACCCGATCGTTGTTGTTGTCGTTGTATTTCGTTTTAAATAAGGACAAATTGGATTAGCAACGGGACAATCTGTACGTCGCGTTTGTTTCTGTCGGTGTGGAAAAAAAAAAATAAACAATATTCGAAACTGTACTTTGGGTATTATGGGAATATTTAAAACGCCGAACCGTATTATATTATATTCAGGGGTCGCGCAGTTTATTTGGCATTGTGTTTTCGGCCGTAACACGTTTTTGAACGTGTTCGCGAAAAGTTTTACGGGCCGACTTTTCCACCCGGATAGGCGCACACTATTATATAATATTCAATCGGACGCCCGAAACGAATTACGGGTAGTAGAAAACGCGTAAAAACGTTAGCGTTTTAGTTGTACAAACTCCGTTCGGGATCCGTTTTTTCGACGATATAGCAATTACCGAATAACAAATTATATTTAATTCAATATCTCGCGACGACCCGTCCTCAGAACGGTGCAAGGTGGAAAGTTTTGCTGACGTTTAGAAAAAAAAAAAAAAAAAAAAAAAAAAAATTATTAGGTTTATGTTTTAATGCGATATTTTATTATTAATTTAATAACTTTAATACCGTAAAGTTTAGATCGCACGAATTAAACGGGGAGAAAAATTTCAGTAAACGATACCGGTTATTCTCGAAAAGTGTAAAAATTGTGTTTATATAGGAATTTTCAGTTATTAATAATTGTAAACAAAAAAAAAAAAATAAAATACCTGTTATTTTGTTCAGTTGAAAATATAAGTATATTGTTAACGCAATCGAAGAAAAAAATTATTCTAACGAAAAATATTTAATTCCCGGATTAAAATAGTTGATAAATAAAATATAAATCCTGTGAACAAAATTGGACCAGAAAAATTATGGAACCTTTTTTTAATTATGTATACAAAATATACACCATACACGTATTTTAGTATTTTACGATTATTTAAAGGCGTAATATTGTTCCATTTTTCATGCACGGGTAGGGGTGAGTGAAGGTGAAGAATCGTTTGTGCGGCGTGTTCCGCTTTATTATACTCTCCCTCTCCCGAATTCAATAGTGGAATGTCTCGTCAACGGTTAACGGAAATTAAAAATGTCGACGCCGAAATTGATTTGAATTAATATCTCGTCTATTTATTGGTCATTTCAATATAGGTTGCAGCCGTTTAAACCCAAAAGTAGGTAGTGATTTCACGCGTTTAAAATAAGGGCGGTGGTAAAAAAAAAAGACCGACGTAACTGTAATTTCGTTATTGTCGACCGTTGCGCATAATATAATCGCGATAGAAAGCCAAGTGGCTAACGTCTGAAACGGGCCTACACGAAAATTTGATTATTGATGAAAATATGAAATACAAAATATTGAGAATTGTTTTACCCGATTCGTCATAATTTATTAAGCACACGTCGTGATTTGATTTCGATTACACTTTCGCATTTGGTAGCTGTCCACCCATAATTCTGGGTCATGTTTATTTATACCACAACATCGAAAACGCGAAAAACACAAAAATATTATCATGTTCCACAATGTTCAGCAATATTCACCGTGCAAACACGTTCAAAATAATTATTTGATTTTCATTCAACAGTCAATACCAAGTGGACGTGACTTTCCACACTTTTCCTGAGAATGTTATCCTGAAAAAAAGAAACGGGAACACGCTTTAAAAACGAATATCACTAATTCTCCTACAAATAATATTAATGTGTGCAGCGAACGTTTTATAAAACACGATTTCTTACAATTTACAACTAGTTGTTATTATAATTTAACATCAATGCCCAATCCGTACGGAACGCCTACCAACTGTTCAATTAATATGGAATAGCATAGGTCGGCACGTTAATATGGCCGTTATGTAATGGGTGTGATTTTAACAATTCCATAGACTTCATAGGAACATAGAGACATTGGTTCTCCACTGAGATCACCAGTTTTAAAACCTTCGGGGCACGTTGTTTTTGGAAATTTTTTTCTTCTTGGAAAATATTAAAAGTCAGCACTCATACAACATAAAAAATGTGAACGAATTTAGGTGGTTTCACAATAACACCACAATGCCTCAAAGGGTTAAGATACATAGCAACTTAATATTTTGTTATTATTCTCCACACATCCGACACCAACAATGTGGTTACACTTCATTATTTGCGTATTCTCAACCAACGGTCGCTTAAAGTCACCGATACAACTTAAACTGTCAATTAGCTCAACAACCGAAGAAAAACGATTTTTTTTTTCCTATTTGATTAGGTAGGTATTATGAAATCGAATAAAATCAATTCAATTATTCATAAAAAAAAAAAAAAAACAAACAAATTAAACAAACAATTGGCATTGTGAAATTCAGTAATCAGTCATCAGCATGGACAGTGGCCCCGTGAGTAAAAGTAACTACAGCGCCTCTATTTTTTTCGTTTTCTATCGCGAATAGTTAGTACTCGTATTGTACATTTTCGTAACGAAACAACAATATTATACTAGTAATATAATAATGGAATCGTTTAATCCGTACCGAAACGCGTATAAAAACAGTACCCACATGGGTATACAGAATAACGGATCTTCTACGGCAATATAATAATCTAACGCATACGCACATCCGATCTGACGTAACAGTAGTTATTTTCGAAACGTTTCGCTCGGTTCGGTCGGTCGCAATATTATTTGCATACAATGCAAGTTTCGCCTCCTTGACGTCCGGTGATACCACACGGTACTTACCACACGGTATTTACCACGGTCAAACTCGAGGACGGTATGCATAAGTGATTGTCCGAAAACGGGGTTGTTAAGGCTGAACGGTCGCTACGAATAACGCAACATCGGTTCAAGTCGGGTAAGTTAATAGTTGAAAAACAGTTCGACTAGTCGACGCGTTAAATATACTGTTAATCAACCAAAAATCGCGAGTTAAATGCGTTAGTTTTGAAAATGCATTAACTCGAGTTCGTAACTTTTAGAGCCCGGGACACTTACATTTCACAAACAAGCACTTAAAAACATCTTAAAAGTCTTGAAAAAAAAAAACACTTAAAGCAAATATTATTAGATCAAATGGTAGAAGGGTATAATAGGGTATAATAAAGATATCCAAATATAATTTTCTAACACGACACAAAACTTTAACAAACGATTATTTTGTTTAAATAAAATTATATGTATTATAAAAAAAAAAAAATTAACTTTCGGAGTTATAATTTGTGTATTCTTAGAAAATTGTATTTAATACGTTGAATGAATCCGTTAGAGGGGGAACATTTAAACTCTTCTTACGTTTTTGATTTTTTTTTAATATTTTTCAAGTACCTTTTTCAGAGATTTTTGACGTCATAGAGTGGTTTCTTTGTGGATTTAAAATGCCATAAGTCCAAGCTTTGGTAATTTTTAATTGTTACTATTCTTTTGTAAACTCGTTATTTTAACACGAATATGATGGAAACCCGGTTTTTTTTTTTTAAGAAATAATAATGATGATCAATATGAAATACAGTAGCTATACACACAAATTGTACGTTTCATATTGTGTATAAACGTCAAAAGCAAATGAAACTAATTTTACGTGGTATGATTTAAAATTAATCGGTTGTTTATTAATTTACCGTAAAGGAAAATAATTAAAGTGAAGAAAAAAAAAATCAATATTTAAAAATTCAAATCAGGCCTTCGACTCGCCTACCCTACGAAATTATTTTATCTGCACTGTACGGTTTATTCATACTCAATGTTCGGAGAGGATTTATATTCATTGAATTTAATTTTTTTTTTTTTTTTGGACACATTCGTTCATGAATGCAATTATTTTTATTTGGTAAATGCAAATTAATTAACTTCACGTCCGAATGTGACCGATCAACTTTTACATATATATGTATATATTTTTTACAATTTATAGAAAAAATACTAATATAAATTGAAATTAAAATTTATTTTAAATAATTTTTGTGTTATTATTATTGTTTTTAATAAAGTTGGAAAAGCATTCCGATTTCTGACGAATGTGAATGCGGAATACGTACCTTTTTAAAAGGAGCTAACATCGAGGTGATATGGCTGCTATTCAGAGTAAACCGAGTAAACGTAATATTCTACGTAATATTCTAATATTCTTTAAATATTATAATATATTTTATTATGCAAATTATTAAAAAAATACCGTCTGGTTTACTAAGCCGATTATTGCATACAACATCTCGAACAACTCGCGTTGTAATACTAATATAATATGTGTGCCCAATTAAAAGTACGTTTTAGCATAAATTACAATAATAATATTGTTGTGTGTAATACTAAATTCAAACCGATTCGTCCAAAACATTGTAACATAACATACCCGTATAATATTGTAATATCTGTGCGTTAACACGCGGTTCGATGCAAACTTAACTCCAAAACTCTATTACACGGCCGTACGCATAAATATTACGTGCTTACGAGTTGCCCGTACGAGTTACTGTCAATATATTATTATTGTGTACCTGCGACCGGGTCGATATTGCAGATTTCGGTTTGCCTGTATAATTTTGCTTTGCATTCCCGTGCAATAGAATCGACTTGGTAGGGTTTGACGTTTAACACTCGATATTTAGGTTTGGACAACACTATTTTTATCCGATTGTATAATACGAGTGCTCACTTTACAGTCTGTTATATTTATATTGTAAACACCGCGTCAGCGTGTTATAATCGTAAAATGAATTGTCGAATTCAAATGTTTTGGACCCGAAAACTCCGAAAATCCTTGACCGATCTGAATAACTGAGAAAACGACCCGAAAATAAAACGCAAAATAAACTACTCATTTTATTCTCGTTCAACGCGTGTGTGACAATGTGAGATTAGGAAAACGGTTTAGAGTGTATCGAAAATGTATCGCTAGTCATTATAAAACAGCTTAGATCGGAGAAGAAATTTTAAGGACGCGCGTGCGTTTCACAAAACGTATGTGGCCGTCCAAGACTACGTGTTACCGAGGAACCAATTATTCGAGTGTTATTAACAAGCCTCGGAAGTTGTTGTATTATTATTATATTATATCGGGCGAAATCATTTAAGAAACTTAAAAAATCTGCGTTTTTTTTTTTTTTTTTTAATAATCACATTCGAAGTGTTATTTGAAATTGAATAAAAAAAAAAAATCGTATTTTAACGCAGACTGAATAATGTCCGTATTCCTTGTATAATAAAATGCTTAATATTATTATAAATTACGTACGCATCCGTGCGTTTGTGTTTATATTGTACTGCAGTAAAGCCACGCGAAACTACGCTATTTTATTTTTTATTTTTTTTGTACCATTAATTTTGAATTTTTAATATCGTCATATTGTGTACGTATTCTCTCAATAATACGCACAGGTAGGTGGGTACGTGGAAACGCAACATTAAGTCAGCGGTGCGTATTTTATGTGTTTACTAGAGTGTTGAAAAAAAAACCAACAAATGCTTGCGATGTGACATATTATTGTCGAAATATTGAAGAAAAAAAAGTCTTTGAAGAGAATAAAAAAAAAAAAAAAAAACGTCTAAAGAATAATTTAAACGACTACATTAGGTCTTGTGTACACTACCTGTACATTATATTATTATGTTTTTTGTGGACGATTTTATTTCAGCAAAAGAAAAAAAAAAACAAATCGTAAACCATCAGTATAACTGTCTCAATTGGGATTTATTTAAGGTCCGACGGTAGCGCAAACAAAATAACGGGTGGTAATAATTTCCGTTTAAAACACTCCCCATAGACACGTCACGTCGACGATGAGTTAAGACGACAACGAAATGTTTTTTCCCGGAATTCTTTGATGAGCAAATATAAAATAACGAATTGGGTTTGGCGCAGATATAACGTAACGGTATCGCTTCGGCTTAACAAACACGGATAAACAAAATAAGAGACGAACAATTTTAATTTCATACTAAAATATATTTAGACTAAAACTTCATCTATTTACGAAATTTTCAAAATAGATTTTTAGGCCATTTTAAAACCAAAGCGAGTAGTGGTTTCAATCCGTCATATTGTTCGATTTCCGTAAACCCATTGACGAGATTTCGACTTGTGTGTTTTGGGTCGGGGAGTACAATAGGGGGCACCGACGAGCGGTGTTTTGAACAAATTCCGAAACAATGAGTGTCTTATCAAGGATTGATCACCCTATACGATAACTCTAAAAGAATCTAAGTTATTTTTGAATTATAAATACAATTATAAAAAAAAATATATATATATATATATATATCTTTTTTTAATTATAAATTTTAGTTTGAAAAAATAATAATAATTATACCTAGGCATAATTTAATTTTAAAATTTCTTTTTTTTTTTTTTTATTTATTAAACCGTAGGCACTCTTATTCATTTCATTCCGTTTACACGACAAACAATTTAATATATATTTTTAATTTAATTTTAACTTTTATGTTTAAATCTCTCATTTTTCAGAAAGTATTTTGTAATTGTTATACACTTTTGTTGCCCGTAATAATCCGTTTGTAATTCGTTGTTTGGAGTAGCTATGTGAGGGTAGCTGGTGAGTAGGTGGCTAAGTACACCGAATAAACAATATAACGACGAAAACTCGTTTGGTCAGTACGAGTGTGGTGTAAACTTTTTCGGGAAGAAACGAGCAGCTCAAAAATTTTACATTAACAGCAGCTTTCGTCACCCCCCCCCCCCCCCTCACCTTTATTTTGATAAGTGAAACCGTCAGCCACGAAGCGGTTTTAAATATTTCCCCTCTAATTGATTATCTATAAACTCAATTTATTTAAATTTGTTTTCTTCGGTTAGATCTTAGGTTAATGCTTATGGCACAATACCAAGTAACGGAAAACAACACGGATGTAAAATATCGTAGAGCTGCTCGCGTCTTAAATGTTCGACAAAACAAATTCCGAAAAAAAAAAAAACGATCAACACTTTCCGAAATAACGAGTGTCTCGCGATAGACCGACCGTCCTGTAACGTCCACAATTACCCTCGGAGCACGCTAGTACACCGAGCCCAGGCCGGCGGCAG